CGTGGCCAACTACCGGCCCCCCAAGGAGTCAGAGGACTGGGATGAGGTGACTAGAGCTCTCCATGCCAAGGGCTGCGGGGTCAAAACGCCGCCTCACTCCTCATCCGACTCCCCGTCAGAGGAGGAGGATGTGCCTGTGAAAAAGCAGAAAGGTGAGGAGTGTTCTGGCAGGCTGGATCCCGGGTGGGATTAGGAGCTGGAGTCTGGGTGGAGAGAAGGGTTGGAGGGAGGAAAATGGGCATGAAGTGAGGGTGGGGACAAAGTGTTGCTCCAAGGTGCTGAGGAAGTGCTTGAAAATGAGGGAGGAGAGGGAGAACAAAGAGGGAAAAGAGTCGTCGGGTCTGGACTGGGAAATTCTGCAGAACTGATCATGGTGTTACTGAGTAAAGGGAATGAGTGGAAGTGCCCAGCATTGCTGGAAAGAACATGGTGTGAGCAGTCAAGAGGGAAGCAGGGTGGCCGCAGCTGGAGGAGAAGGGTGTCAGGCTAAGAATTGGAGTGGGATCTCCCTGAGGGGGAAGCAGGCTGCCATACTGGGAGTATAGGGGAGCAACTCGTGGTGGGAGGGGAGTTGGGGCAGTGCCGTGAAATGGGGGGGTTGGGGGTGCTCCTGGAATTGGGTCCATCGCCAGCTGTGAACCCGTGTTCCAGAGAAGCCGCGGAGCAGAGCGGAGCAGCCGAAGCCGGGCCAGCAGGCCGGGAAGCGCGTTGGAACAGAGGAGCCACATCCCAGGATCAAGATCAAGAAGGAGAAGGAGGACCCTGGGTATGAGCGCTACGCCAGCGGGAGCTCTGACAGGAACGCTGGGAGCAGGACACAGCGGGACGAGGAGCAGCGGCGGCACCAGCGGCCCTCGGAGAGGAGGGGGGACAAGAGTGGCCAGGAGCAGAGGGCACAGAGCAGCTCCTGGGAGGAGCGGGACAAGAGGGAGGAGGCTGGCAGGAGGAGCGACGGGCACGGCAGCCGGCGGGACGTGTCCCCCAAGGGAGGCAGATCCCGGGAACCCCATTCCAGGCACAAGGAACGGGGCTCCGGCAGAGACTCTGGCCGCCACTGAGCCCTGGGAGAGCATTCCAGGGCCAGGGAGGCCTTGAGCCTGCCCAAACACCTGCTCCAAGCTCCCAGGGCACTGCAGCTGGACTGCTTGCCTCACGGGAGCTTCCCTTTGGATCTCTTCCTGCTCTGGGCCAGGGTTCTCTGTGTTGGCCTTCAGTGCTGGCCATGGAGGGTGGCAGGAGCTGGGGGCTGGGAGCAGCAGGATGCTCCCCTTCTCCAAACCTCCAGTTCTGTCAGTGCTGGGGGGTGTCCCCCTCTTGCAGTGCGAGAAGAGGCCTGTGGGTGTCTGGTCTGGCCTCGCCTGCCGGTGGGTCCTGTGCCCACCCGGCATCTCCAGGTTCTGTGGTGGATCCGCAGGGATTTACTGCTGTGTTGGGGCCATTCACTGTGGGTGTGTTTAAAGGTCTAATAAAAATTCCTGTTTGCTAGAAGCTGGTCCCAGGAGCACCCTTCCTGCTCCTGACGGTGATTTTGGGCTGATTTGGCTGGAAAAGCAGGAGTGATGGATACAGAGTTGGGGGGTGGTGCACAACGGTGATGAGAGGGATGGGCTTTGGGATGGTTTGAGCTGGATGTGATTCCCACAACGAGTAATCCCTCCAGACAGAGTCCACAGCAGTTCCAGGCATGGGGGGCAGAGGGGGCATTTTCCCCATGGAACAATTGGGACTGAGCCCAGAGGTGCCCGATGTGGGGTCAGATGGGGACTGGGGCAGGGGCAGACCCGGGGGGTTCCCAGTGTGCTGGGCAGGGGGCTCAGCCCCATCCTGCTCCTGATACCCCGGGGGGGCTGTGACAGTCCAGCTGCCGGTACCCGGGGGAGCGGTCACCATTCTGCTCCCGGTATCTGGAAGGGCTCAGCCCCTTCCTGCTCCTGGTGTCCGGGGGTGCTGTGACCGTTCTTCTCCCGGTACCCCGGGGAAGCTTAGGCCCATCCTGCTCCCGGTACGCGGGGGCTGGTCACCATTCTGTTCCCAGTGTCCGGAGGGCTGTGACCATGCTGTTCCCGG